TTATTAATGTTGTTGTTGTTGCATTTATTTACCTGCTCTGTGTGTGTGTGTGTGTGTGTGTGTGTGTGTGTGTGTGTGTGTGTGTGTGTGTGTTTGTGTTGGTGGGGATGGGGGGGGGGTGTGTCTTCGAGGATACGTGTGGGATGTGGCATCTGTGTGGCAATCAGAGGACAGCAAGAAGGTTTTAGTTCTCTCCTTCCACCATGTAGATCTCAGGAATCGAACTCAGGCATCAGGCTTGGCAACAAGTCCCTTAACCCACTGAATCATCTCAGATATATATTATTTTATACATAGTATGAAAGACATACTATGTCTCTGGTCACATACTATTAAGTATGATTCAGGCATCAGGCTTGGCAACAAGTCCCTTAACCCACTGAATCATCTCAGTAGCCTAGAATCAAGTTTTTTGTTTTGTTTTGTTTTGTTTTTGAGACAGGATTTCTCTATATAGCCCTGGCTGTCCTGGAATTTGCTCTATAGACCAAGCTGGCCTTGAACTCACAAAGATATGTCTTAGATTTCTGGAATACTCTGATACTTCTAAATGGGTTTTCTGTTAGTCCTGCTTTAAGATGGGAAACTCAGCTTCCTGGAGTTTGTCACTGTTGTAGAGCCCCACAACTAGTGTATAACGGAACTAGGCATCATCTCAAACTACCAGAACCCTTGACTCCATCCTAGGCAGATCTGCAGAGACAGTGGAGACTACCTATTCATAGACTGAAACTTCCCATTTCGTTTCTCCGCCCTCTATCTCCCCTTCACCTCCTCTCCTAAACACAACCCCAGTACACACTTTCTGAGTCCCCAGTCTTCATTCTGATCCAACCCTTGCCTGATTCACATCAACTAATCCTCAGTACTTCAGCCCTTGCCTATTTTCAACAACTAATCCTCAGTACCTCCCTAAAAGGCCATCTCCATAGTGCTCCATTAGTGCTCCACTTGGGGGGCATGCCAAGCACCCCTGCTCCTTGCTCCCAAGGCACCCCTTGTCACCCTTATCAGATCACACTGCTTCCTAACTTTTCTCTTTCAATAAGATTGTGGGCCCTTTGTGGCAGAGACCAGGGCACCTTCCTCTGTGTTTTCTGGTCCTAGCTGGAACCTGGGATGGAGTAAAAGCTTCGTAAATATCTGCCAACTTGAATTTACTGAGTGGATGTTCAAACTGGGAGATTTTGAGTGGCTATATCTATAGACATTTGCAATATACTTTGAAGTCTAAAGAACTTACATTGATGATTTCATGTAGTGTTCTGAGGCTGACAATGTTCCCACAGCTAAGGAAACTGAGGCTCAGTTTTCTCAAGTTCACCCAGGCAGGAAGTGGCCAGGCTAGGACTGGACTTCATGTCTTTCTGAGTCCAAAGTTCTCTCCATCACTTCCCAGATCATCTGATTCACACAGTTTGCACATTTTACCAGGGGCATTGTAAATAGGAAAGAGAAGTCCTGGCTGAGGTCATTCTGTTTGTACCCTGGTCTGTGCTCCTTTCCTCAATGGTAAATGTCCAGCCAGGTGACAGGGTGAGAAGAGGGCCCTGGACAGGACAGGAGTGTGCTGCCATTTACTCTCTCCCTGTGTGTCACAACCTGAATGTTTAAATTGTGTATTTAGTATTTACTCTGAAATGGCTTTCATCTGATTTCCCCCTTGCTCACCAATTTAGCTGTCAGAGTAAATAAATGTGAAGCTGGGTCTCCAGTCTCTCCAGCTCACATTACCTTCCTAGAATTACTCCCGGCGGGGTGGAACCACTGCTGGGGGCCTCCCACAGAATTATCCGGTTACTAATGAAACCCTTTTTCAAGCCCAAACCTTCGAGGACGACAGAGTCTCAGGTTGGGGGGAGGACGGCAAAATCCACCTCAGAGGACCAGATGACCATAATCTGTTAGTGACCAGTGGGAGCTGAAATGATGACATTATGGATGCCTGGTACTAAGCACAGCTCCAGAATCGAGTCAAGATTTGTGAAAGTATTAGGTGCTTGATGATTAGTTGTCACTCCAACCCTGAGGGGTGAGGATTGTTAGCCCCATTTGCAAGTTGGGAAGTAGAGCTCTGAGAGGTAAAGTGACCTGCCCACAGTCTCCTACAGAAGGAAAATGAGTATCCTGTCTGAACAGACTAAAGGAGTTGCTCCAAGTTTGGCAAACTGGCCTCATTCTATTGCAGGAGTCTGGGTTTGTGGGAAGGAAGATTTCTTGTCTGAAGTGATTTCATTTTTGTCTTTGAAGTTGGATACAGAAATAGGTCTGCTTCTTCCTTGGGTAAGTTACTCAGGAAAGTTTTTGAGTGTTTGAATTATGCCCTGCCTATTCCAGAATGAACCTGAAGTAGTATCCAGTAGAATAAACACTACAAAATATGGTAGGTCCATGCCATGGTGGCCCCTAATATTCAAGGGTTGATTACTGTATGTGACAGACATTCTGAGTCATTGGCATTCAATTCACAAGTTGGGTGGGGCTGTGCTAAGGAGGTGGGCTCTGTTATCATCCCCACCTAAAGGTGAGGAAACCAAAGATGAAGGAGTGAATGAAGTGTACTTGCTAGCCCAAATAATAAGGGGCAGTGTTAAGGCAAGTCCGGAGGCATGCTGCTCTCAGTCTTAGGTACTGCCTGAGTTCAATGCCTCTTATTCTACTTTTAATTTTCCTGAGGATCTAATCAGAATCCAGGTGTGGAACTGCATGGAGACAAGTTTGTATAAAGTGCCAACACTGAGTCTAGATTCCAGTAAACAAGGCCAACCATATCATTGTTATGGAGTTGCTAGGCAGATTGGAGAGTATGTTGCACACAGAACAGACAAATGGTGATTATGTCTATGTCATTGTCATAGTCATTGCCATCATCTGGGAGCATCAACTTCCCACTCCTCCTCATAGCAGTGGCACCATCTGTTTGCTGCCACTGGCCATCATCTGGGAGCATCGACTTCCCACTCCTCCTCATAGCAGTGGCACCATCTGTTTGCTGCCACTGGACCTTTGCTGTCATTTCTCTACCTGGACCACTGTCTTCTGTCTCCCAAACTATGAAAATCTCAACTGCCATTTCATTTCAACTGATCTTGCCAAATCTTCATAGGAAGATTTGGAGGAGCAGCACAACCTTCAAGCCTTGTCTTTTTTGGTTCCTATGCATACCATGTACTGTATATTGCCCTCTGGACTCTCCAGGATATAGGAGAGGAGAGAAGGGGGGAAGGGGAGGCCAGGGGAGGGGGAAGGAGGAAGAAGGGAGAGGAGAGACACAAAGACAGTGCTGTTGTCTTTGTTAATGAGCCAGAAATCATATCCATATTTTTGACAAAACATAGAAAGCATGTGGGGGGGTTGCCGGTGTGTGTGTGTGTGTGTGTGTGTGTGTGTGTGTGTGTGTGTGTATTGTTCTGTCCTACATAAGTGGCCATAGTCATGGGTATAGCCGAGAAATCAAGGTCATAAGCTCTGTAGATGAATCTGGTTTTGAGTTGTTGGCTTGGGTAGTTATTAAACATGTGGCTCTATGATGGGTTTGAGTCTTTAAACCTCAGTTTAAAATGGTAAAATAGGTACCAGAGAGGATGCTGCCTCACACAGAAAATGAGAGCATGATTGTAAGATGCTTAGCATTTCAATGCATAGCCCAGATTTAAGCATCCAAGAATAGTACTGTGTATGTGTACATATGTGTGCATGTACATACCTCACCTACTTCCAAAGTATAATCTGTTCTCTTTCCTATAAAAGATTGGTTCAGAACCCTTCTTCTCTCTAAATGCCTGTAGGCCTGAGAGCAATAAATTACTGGAATGCAAGGGCTGATACCATTAGCTGGGGCTATTTCTGCCTGAAGGAACAGATACGTGTGTTTCTACGGTTTGGAGGTGGGTTTTTAATACTGTGATGGTGTATAGAAAACAGTGTCAATGTGTGCTTCTGGCTATGCCTATTTGTACAGATGGAGACTGACAGCTGGGAATGCTGGTTTTGTAAAGGTGTATGTTGCTTTCCCATAAGCCTAGTGCCTTGTTCCACCACCTGTAAGAATGCAGTGCATAGTAGGAGATATCAGATAATAGACAAGAGGTTACACACGGTTTGGAGCTCTATGGAAGCCTGAACTCTCCTGAATATGGCTGTGTGTACAAGTCTAAGTGATTGTGGGGGTGCTGTTTACATCTGTAAATGAGGGCAATTATGGAAATTGTGGTCTGTGTGATGGGTGGGTTAGGGACTGGATCTAAATCTGAGTGTGCACATTTTTTAGAAGAGGGTGTAAATTTACACACTTCTTTGGCACGGTTTGTGTGCGGAGGAGACTGTGTCCATTCGTGTTTGTCAGTGTAAGGACCTTTGAGATGGAGGGCTCTGTGTTTGAGGGCTGTGCCTTCTATCTGCTTTTTCCTAACTCTCACTATCGTTAGAGCCCCATGGAAGGTAGAAAGTGGAACTAAGTAAATCTTGAAGGTGGATGTCCCAAACAATTCCTTCCAAAAGAATCAGGGGGAACTACTCTCTCACTGCCACCAGCACACTCTGCTCTGACCCCAATCCTATTCAGCCCTTAGGAGCTCATGCAGGCACCAGTTGTTACAGATACCTTTGCTGGAGTGTGAGAGGTGTGTAGATGTCCGGGACCTGGAGGTAAGCAGGTAACCATTTGCGACCGTATGTGCCGGGCTCAGCACTGCGTCAACAGAGTGTAGCCTCACATGGAATCCAGCTCTGCAGACGGGCTGACCACAGATTCCTCTCGCACTTAGGAACTGGCTGTGTGAGGGCGGTGGGTGCCCTTGAGGGAGGGGCGGTAGTAGGAGCTGTGAGGATGTAACCCCGCCAGTGTCTTTGTATGTTAGCATGTTCTAAGGGTCTCTCTGTAGCGCTGAGTTTCAGTGTGTCTCTGTGTGTATGTCTCTGAGTCTCTGCCTCCTTGTGAGTGTCTCGCTCTTCTTAGCAGGGAGGGGATTGGTCACGCATGACTCATCTTGAACGGAGCGGGGCTCCAGCGGCAGGGCGGTCGTCGCCGCAGCTGGAAGGGGAGGAGGACAACGAAGAGGAGGGAGAGGAGGAGGAGGAAGAGGAGGAGGAAGAGGAGGAGGCGGCGGCAGCCGCAGAGGCAGCTGCAGGGACCTCTCCAAGTTTGTCGGGACCTTCTTCGGAGGAGGCAGTGGCGCCGGCAGCCAGAGAGGCCAGGACTGCGTTCAGGCCGGGGGCGGGGGCTGGGGCAGGGCCCGGGGGGTGGGGGGCCGGAGCCTCCGGGATCCAGCACTCTCAACAGCCTCTGCCCCCAGGGCGCCCCAGGCCCCACTTCGCGCCGCTCTCCGTGCTGCGCGCCGGCTGAGCCCTCCGTTCCCGGGCCCATGTACTGGAAGCATGAGAGCGCCGCCCCGGCGCTGCCCGAGGGCTGCCGTTTGCCGGCGGAGGGCGGCCCCGCCACTGACCAGGTGAGCTAGTTGGCGAGTGGGTAAGCCTCGAGGATCCCGAGGCCAGCGGGAGCCGGGATTCAGCTCGGCCCGGCCGGTTGGCGGGCAGCAGCAGGGAGGAGGGGTGCTGGGGGGCCCGGGGGGGGGGGGGCGTCGAGGGGGAGGGGCGGCGGCCGGGGGGGGGGGGGGGGGGGGGGTCGCGGAAAGCGGGAACACATTATGCAAATGTTGGAGGAATTTCTCAAAAAGCGATTTAGCAAAGACATAGGCGAATCAAGAGGAGGCGAGGCCAGTATTGTCCGTCTGAATAGACGCTGATAGCGCCGATGCGCCGGGGGTTGTGCCGGCGCAACGCTGAGAATCCCGACACGGTGCCGGTCCCGGGCGCTCCGGGAGTCTGGAGGGTTCTCTTGCCTCCTCCAGGAGGCCTCTCTTTTCTCTTTTTGGCCTCATTTCACTTGCCGATCTCGCCCTCTTTGGCTCCGGGCTTCCCTTGGACTAGCTCTTCCAAAGGCGTTTGAATCGGTGTCAATATCCCCGCTTCAATTTCGCGGCACGCGTCGGGCGGGAGGGCGGATGCTCCTAGTGCTCTGGGTTTTATTTTTCTCAACCACCACCACTACCACCACCACCCCCATCTCCTTTTTATTTTCTTTCTTTCTCTCTTTTCTCCTTTTTGCATTTTGTACCGAGAGTAGGAGAAGGGAGGGGGTGAAGGGAGAAAAAAATTCGATTTTTAATTACTACCATTAAAAAATCAAATTTGCAATTCTTTGGGCGGCCTGATGGATCTCACTGATTGACAGTTGGAATTGACACTCTGGCTACCTCTTATCTTGGGCATTCACGACAATTTCTAATTGCAGGTAGTTTGTGTGTGTGCGTGTGTTTTTCCCCCCTCAGAGGCTTGGATTGCAAAGGAACTAAGCGATTACTTCAAGAGCCACGGGTTAAGTGCAGGGAGAGGGGGAGAGAGAGGGAAAAAACCCAATCCAAATTCAAATTGCTTCATTAGAGAGACACCGCTTTTGTGGGGAAGGGCTTTAAATGCCCACTACAAAGTTAGGACTCATTGTTCACCGCCGGTTTATATAACAGGCGCGGGGAGGCGCTGGGCTCTGACAGCTCCGAGCCAGTTCAGCAGCCGCCATCGCCTGCCTTCCCTCCCCCTCCCCCAGGTGATGGCCCAGCCAGGGTCCGGCTGCAAAGCGACCACCCGCTGTCTTGAAGGGACCGCGCCGCCAGCTATGGTGAGTCCATTCGGCTCTGTTTTCCGCCCTGAGTACCCCCAACAGCACAGGCCAGGGCATCTGGCTAAACCTTCTTGCTACCAACCTCTACCCTTGCGCTCGAGAATTGCCGATAGGAGCCACCTCTCGTTGACTCTTGATTTTTTTCTGGCCAAGAATGTGGGCTTTGGCTACTTCCTGCACCCAGAATACACCATGTTAAAAGTTGGGGGCCGTCCTTTCTTTTCCAATAGGTCCTTTCATTCTTGTCCTCCAGCCTAGGGCCCGACATCCCTGGTATATTTCGTTGTTAGTTGGTGCGCAAGGGAACCAGATTTGTCTTTATGGCAACTCTGGGCGTCCGACTTAGCACTTCGCTATTCTTCTTTCCCATTCCAGGCTCAGTCAGACACCGAGGCCCTGGCAGGTTCTCTGGACAAGGACGAAGGTCGAGCTTCCCCATGTACGCCCAGCACACCGTCTGTCTGCTCGCCGCCCTCTGCCGCTTCTTCCGTGCCGTCTGCAGGCAAGAATATCTGCTCCAGCTGCGGCCTCGAGATTCTGGACCGGTATCTGCTCAAGGTGAGTCAGGGTAGGTGTTGCCTGCAAGTCGGTGGGTGTGAGCTGTAGAGAAGCCTGAGGACTGTGGGAAGCAATGCTCTCCCAGGTCCATTTTATTCGGCGTCCTAGTTCAGCGGCTGACGATCGCGCAGCTTTGGGCAAATGCCCCAAGTTTCTACTAGAAAATGGGAAGAGTGTATTTCAATTTCCTTGAGCCTCCGTAATATAGAAGAAAACTAGGGAAGCCATACTGAAGCTCCTTCCGATCTTCGGTTTCTCTCTCTGCAAATGAGGTTGGGGAGGCTGGGGACGGGCGTGAAAGAGGCCCGCGCTGAGCCGATCCCCCACCCCTGCCCCCTCCCCAGGTCAACAACCTCATCTGGCACGTGCGGTGCCTCGAGTGCTCTGTGTGTCGCACATCGCTGAGGCAGCAGAATAGCTGCTACATCAAGAACAAGGAAATCTACTGCAAGATGGACTACTTCAGGTAGGCTGCGGCGGTTGGGCCAGCAAGGCTAATGTACGCAGGGCTTGCACAGGCGTGTCTAGGCAACTAATGTGGCTTGTGGTCTCCAACTCCTCCTGAGCCCTGCCATCCCGAGTACTCTTCGCAGCTCGGCTCACTGGCCCAGCCCTTCGGCTCTGCACATCTAAAACAGAAGGCCACAGGTAGAGCGCCAGCACGAGTTCGGGCCGGGAGATCTGCTTCGGGTTCCTGCGTTCTGACCGGTCCTGGTCACCGTTCTGGCTCCGCCTCTGGTCTTTTCTGAGTCTCAGGCTCCAATTGTGATTTGCCGAGCTTTGACGTCCGTCCGTCGGTGGGTCTGGCCGGGATCGGTCTTGCAGCTAGGCGCTGTCCCGCTGCGTTTCTAGCTCTGGTTCCGACTTAAAATCCAGTTGTGTCGTGGCCGGTCCTGGGAGGGATCCTAAACTAGGCTCAGGACTCTAGTTCTAGCTTCGCTCTACCCTCAGTTTTGGGCTTAGATCTGCTCAGTCCCAAGCGCCAACGCTACATCCGACTCCGGCTCTACCCCAGATCCTGGCGCTGAGTCCCAGGCACCAACCTCGATCTCTGCCTCTGCCTCAATTCATGCCTTAGTTGCTTTTTGAATCCCGGGTAATGACTAGGTCCCAGACTCCTGTTCCTGCCATTGCTCGGCCATCGTTTCTGCCTGCCTCGGTTTAGGTTCTAGCTCTGGGCCTTCAGGACCCGCTTTCGGAGCGCCGCGATGCATTCCACCTGGCTACACTCTGCCCTGTGGTGCAGGAAGCGTGTTCCCCAGCAGCTCACGATCCATCCTTCCTTGTTGCATGGTCCTGCCCGACCCTGGCCGCTCAACCTCTTGTAGGCGCCTAGCTTCTAGGCACGCAGTAGGCGCCTGCTGACTGGGTCACGGAGTCGAGGTCACGGCAGTGCCCAGGGACACCACGAAGGATATGCCAGATCTAAGCCGGAAGACAGACGAAAGTCTGCTGGAGAATGATTTGGAATTGGTTCCTCCGAGCAACGCCTTCTTCCAAATGCTTTCTCCGGAAGTGGAGAAAACTGCCCTGTGGAATGTATTCCCCCTACACACAGACAGATAGGCAGGCACACACACACACACACACACACACACACACACACACACACACACACACACACACACTCACACACAAAGTTTTTAGCCTTCAGGAAGCACTCCCAAATCGAGAGAAGTCCTGACTCAGTCTTCTGAGGAAGACTGAGACAGTCAGGCAATGTGGTGCATGGCCACCCTCATCCTCTTTGAACCTCCAGGGACCTGAAAGCGGCCTTGAACCTAGGAAGAAGTTAGTAGCATGTGGGACTGCAGTTCTCCCAGAAACCAGGTGAAGCAGCCTCTTCCTTCATGTCTTGGGGATGGGACCTGTGGGTCCTACCACTGTGTGCAAGGAATGGTCTGGAATCTACAGTGGTGCTGGAGATGTGTCACTGAGCAGGGTCAGGGCATATGGACAGTGGGTATGTCTTTCTATTCACATGTGAGTGCTGAGAGTATAGGTCTTGCATGTACCTGCTGAAACTTGGTGGGCCCGGTGGCTTGCCAGGTGCTCAGGACAGGGGACAGACACATCTGGATCAGGATGTGGGAGGGCAAGTCCACCTCCAGTTCCTCGGAAGGAGCTTTGCAGGGGTAGGGTGTGGTGTGAAGGTAGACCTTTTGGCTGGAAACTGCTGTGCATGTACATAGAAGGTCATGCCTATGTGGTGTATAACAACGGGATAAGGTCTGCTCTGTCTGATGTTTTATTGGTTTAGTTTAGATGGAAAATGTATATTACAATTATTTTCTAGTCACCTTCTGCTCTAGGCATAACTCCTATTAGGGAGAGAGGAGACAACTGATTTGGGGTGCTTTTGAACAGGTCACTACTGAGGAGCTCAAGAACCCACCAAAATAGCGTCCAGGCCGCCTTCTATAGAATAAGGCTGGGCAGGTGCCGTCTTCTGGCTCTTCTGATGATGAAGGCCATCATCAGAAGAATAAGGGCAGCCTTATTCTTCCCCTTATTTCCTTGCTGGATTGGGACCTCTCAGATGTCATGCTTTACAAAAGTGTGAAGGACTAGTCAAAACTAGGCTCTTGATTCCATTATTTATAGTGCCCACCAATTCCGCATCTCACTGTTCTGCAGCTAGCCTAGGAAGAGGCAGGAGACAGAGCTCTGAGACTAATTATGAACTTGGGCAAGTCACAGCACCTCTGCTCTGATGTTCCTTTCCCAAAAACGGTCTCTTGAACCAAGGAGGCCACCAAGAGGAAGCAGTCTCCATAAAGGCCCACAAGTGACAGTGAATATGAATGCTTCGGTTATAACCATTATGGTCATTGGCAGGGTGGGTACCAGACATGAACCTGTGATGGCATTTCCCCAGGCAGCCTGGAGAGCTGGACCTGACTGTCCAGCTGTGCCATTTCTGTGAAGAGGTTCTGACTGATAACCCTTTTCCAATGATAGGCAATCTCAAAACAAAACCAGATTCTAAATTAAGAAAATGGAGTGAATAAAAGCTCGCTTTACCCAAAAGGAGGGTAGAGTTGTAAATTCTCTGATCCCTTCTCTCCCTGACAGTCCCCAAGTAGGCATAAGTCATTGCTGGCAGCCTCACCAGTAACACAAATAAGAAAGCCCAAGGCAGGGAAAGAGAGCCTTGGAGCATCAGGCAAGGACTATTGTCTGCCTGAGCAGCAACACAGACTCTTCCCAGAGAGCTGAATAATGGTGTGTGGGAGGCAGAATTCCCGCTCAAGAACTGGGGCTAAGAGAAGGCTGGCTATGCTTCTCCAGCCTCTGTTTCCTGAAACAGGGGTCAAGGGTCTGATGGGGTGTGGGCTGAAGTATTCTGCCAAAGGGAGGCAAGAGCTTCCAACAGGGTAGACGAGAATGGTGAGGAAAAGAGTGGCCAGGGCTGCAAGGAGTGGACACTTTGGGCTCCCAAGAGTTTCTAACCTCTGCCCTTGTCCCCACAAAGGGTTTTAATCCTGATTCTGCCTCCTCTCCCCTCCCCTCCCCTAAGATTATCGTGTAGATTTTCTTCATTCTCCACTGGCAGAGTGGGTGTTGGTGGCTCAGAAGTTAGAGATCAGGAAGAAACTTAAAGTCCAGCTGGGAGGGAGGTTGCAAACATGGGAGAACTGTGGAGTCTGGTGCTTTTCCTGGCTTATTTGCACTTGTGCAGGGCAGTAGGTCATTGTTCCCCCCACCCCCCTTTATGTGCCCTTGGCCAGGTTTCTGGACATTTTGGCCTCAGTTTTTCCGATTCCTTCTCCAAGCAGAGAACTCACCAGCCCCAGCCGTTGTGAATTCAACTTAATTCTCCACCTACACCCTACTCTTGGCAAATTATGGGTGAAACAAAATCACCAACAAGGAAGTAGGGTTTGTTTTAATTTCTTTACTTTTTTGCTGAAACATTTTCCCTGCTTGTCCTCCATGGACTGAAGAAAATTTTGTTGTATGTGTGGGTGGAGGGGTGTCACGTTCCTTTTTGGAACATTCATTTTTCCATTGTCATCAGCAAACACACCCCAGGGCAGTTCGGTGTGCCTACCTGCAGCTGTTGCCCCAGTGCCTGCTGGCATTGCCCTTGAAGCTCCTGTGGTCTCCTAGAAGGTTGTGCTCATTTGTAGCAGAGAAGTCCCATGTGCTAGGAGAAAAACCAAGGGTTACCTACCCAATGATTGAGAGCACACATGAGGCTACCAAACCTTTTATCTACTGTATCCTGTATCTCATTTAATCATGTGATCCACCCTGTATGATACTGCCAGCAACTTCACATTACAAGAAGGAAAACTGGAGCTCTGAGGGATAAGTCAGTCAGGTAATATGTGGTAATGCTCAAATAAGCTCCACAGCACCTGACTTCACAACTTCTTCCTCTGAGGGTCCCTATGCTTCTACAATTAAGATACAGCTGCCTCTGTTTGCAATTGTAAGGCATACTGAATGGCAAAGACCTCTCTCTGCTCTCCTTATGATTCTCACCCGGTTCTCCCAGTTCACATAAACAGCATCCACCATACACTCAGAATAACTAGCAACTTTCCTGAGAGCAAGGACCCTGGTCCTTATCCCCTTTCTCTTTGACAATGGTATAGGGGACAAAGAGTTATCGGGATGGGACTGGGAGCCTTAGAGTTCCAGGATTAGCTGAAGTTCCTGTTCTCTGCTTGGCTTACAACACTTGGGGAGAGGGGTTCCAGCCTTCTCTAGCCTTCCACCTTGGGCCTGAGCTCTGTCTCTGAACTTTAGCCCCTTTCCTCAGAGCTAGGGTCCCAGGGGAGACTGAGAGAACACCAGCCCCCCCACCATGTGTAGAGAGGCCCAGCAGCAACCAGCTGTTGGGGGACAGATGTTGGGGGAATGGAGGAAAGAAGGAGCCTCAGACCGGGACCTCCAGGCAGGCTTGGGCTGCTGTTTAACCTCTTAATTGCTGGCTCTGCACCCCTCTTCTTTTTAAGAGTTTTGTATAGAAAGGAAGCAGGGATAGGAAGGGTTTCACTTCCAGTTCTTGTTTGCCTCACAAAATCCATGTTTTGAATGTCTAAAACCCCAAATAAGTGAACTCCAGTTTCTTTCAGACCCCACTCTGAGTGAACTTCGTTTCCCCATATAGAAAGGAGCAATTTAGTAGGCAGGGAAAGAATTCCAAAGCACTCATTTTAGAGGCTCTTTTACCCAACAAATATTAGAGCACCTTCTATGTGTCTAGGCCTGGAAAATGAGCCCGACCTGGTCAAGGACGCAGTTCCACTTACAAAACCGGCTCTCCGGATTTCTGCTCTCTCCTGGCGGGAGGGGGGGGGGAAGGCTTGTTGGTCTCCCTTTAACAGTTGCTAGGATTCGAAGCCTCTGTCCATACCTTTCTATTCTCAAAGCTCATCGCCCTTTTAGTCTCTACCTGTGGTGTGCTTGGATTCTGGTGGGAATGTGCAAGAAATCCAGATCTCATAGCGTGGGCGAGGGTGTCAGTAGACTATTCCCCCGGTGCCTTTGACAATTTCTTCACTGCTTCCAAGCATCCTTTCCTTGAAGTTTCGTTGTCTTGGCGGCGGCAAGGCTGTTTTTCGCTGCTTCCGGAATGGAGCAGTTGGAGCCTCGAAGCTTGTCTGGGCTGGAGCTTGTCGGTTTGTCGGTTTGTCGGACTTGGACCATAGCTTCCTTTCGCTCTTTCTTTGTGAAAGTGTCCTCAGGGACACTTTGTATCTCGGGACACAAAGCATCTTAAGACGGACAATGGCACCGCCATGTTTTCTCCAAGGATCTAATTCGAAGAGGATGGTTTCGTTGACGGGGCCAATTTGTGGTACTTCAGTTTAGGGATGAAGACAGCATTTGAGATGGTGCGCAGAGGGTGAGAAAGTTGCTGGTGGGTAGGTTACTAGCAGCACTTACTCAGGAGTGAGGTGATGGGGGCACTGTGACCTATCTGTGTAGGCACCGAAGTTGGACTTGTAAACAGGAAGATCCGGGGATTCTGGGGGAAGAGTGAGGCCAGGAATATCATGGAGTCAAGTGTGGGGACCACATGTTCTGGGTGCAGAGGACCACAGTATGGCAACCAAAGGCTGCTGCTCCGAACACCAGCCCTTCCCTTCTCTGCTCTGCCTCTTCTTGATCTCCAATGTGGCACTTCTTAGAATCCATGCCAGGAGTGGGCCAACATTAGACCAGGTCCCTTGCTGTCCCCCACTGGGGTGCCAGGTGTCCTCATCTCCATCCCAGCTGCTCCATATACTTACTCTGTGTTGTTTGGAATAAGTCCTTAGCTGTTTTTGAACCACTGACTCCAGGTGTGAAAAACGAGTTTCAGAGCCTGTACTTCACTGGTTCCAGCAAAGATGATGGGGTGCACTGAAGGTATTGTGGTGGTGGTGGAGGTGGTCAACAGGAAGCAAAGGCTCTGGGAATGCCTGGTTGTTCCGTTACCCCAAAGTACAAACAATAGAAAGCCAGCCTCCCATGGGCAGCCCGAAAGCAGTTCCATTGGGGCTGCCACCAGCGGGGCTGGGGGTGGGGTGTTGGCAAAGAAGTTTCATCTCCATTTTCTGAGGGATTAGGAACAGACATCACAGACTGGTCTAGATTCTCCCACAGGGAAGCCATGATTTCTGAGGTCATGAAAAGCATCCACTTGTGTGTGTGTGTGTGTGTGGGGGGGGGTCGTTGATTAGGCAAAGGGCTGAAGCTCTGTCTGAGCAATCCTAGAGGCCTGAGCAGGGTCCCTGGACTCCCCTTGTACCAGAGAGGGGTGAGTGATGTTGTGGAGTTTGTTCTGAGAGTCTGGCCTGGCTGAATGTGCTGCATTCCAGCATTTGCAGCAGCCAATGACTTGACTTTGCCAAAACAGGCGACACCATGGTGTGACTGGGTGACTTTTCTGGGCTGTTTAGCCACACACAGGTAGTGTAAATGTGCTGGCCCTGGGGATGGAAACACAAACCCTTTTGGCATACTTACCTCATCTCCAAGAATGGCAAGGATGAAAGGGGCAAGCCAAAGATCCAGATACTTAAAGAGCAGTGTGATCAGTGCCGAGATGGTGGTAGACTCTGAGGAAAGTCATGGCCAGGGAAGGAACTGGGGGTGGAGAGAAGAACAAAGGACTGAAAATGAGCTTCCACTTTGCCTTGGGGACTCATGCTTGAGTACAGGGTAGGAGATACTGAAGATTAGGAAAGACGTGGGCCTGAGGAAGATGTAGTCTGTTGGGTTTCATAAATCAGAAGTGTCTTGGACTAGACCCTAAGGATAGCATGGAGCCACCAGAGACAATAAGTGGGCCAGGGGACAGATTCTGTATTCATGCTGAAAATTTAGCAGTAAAGTACAGTGTGGATGATACATTGACAATTCAGTACTGGAAAGTAGGAGCGAGTGCAGATGGGGCAGTGAGAGGAGCCTGGTGGGGACCAAGCCCAGAAAGGCAGGAGTGGGGATGGAGCTGAGAGTATATGGTCCTGACAGCCATGCTAGAGGGCTGGGTGATTGGTGTCTGCCTCCTGGACAGAATGCACACTAGAGGAAACAGGCTTAAGGGTTAAGATGGTCACAGGTGAGTCAGCCACTTTAAGGTGGACTAGGCTCTGTTGCTTCCCAGGATGCAGCAGTCTAACAGACTCCTTACAGAAAGCAGAGAAAGGAGGAGCAGGGACAGAGACAGGCAGAATGGAAAAGAGGGCATGAGGGACAAGGGAACATTCTAGTTAGACTTTTTTTTTCCTTCTTCTTCCCCACTTAGTATTAGGATGTCATGGGCCCCAGAGTTCAGGACTGCTGGGGCTGCTGATTGCAAGGCACTAAACAAATAGTAGCAGTCATCGCTGTTTTTGCAGTTCCAGATCAAAGAAAATAAAAAGTCAAAGCAATTCAATGATCTATGGGGTCACAAAGCCAGTGAGTATGTGTAGTAGTCTAAGAAAAGACTCTTTGGAGTCAGGTCTGCAGGGGTCCCTGTCCTTGAGAGATGTATGATGTAATGAGACTTATCCTATCCTAGGTCCTAGATTCCCCATCTCCTCCTCTGAAAAATGAAAATTGAGATTAAACTTTGTGAAGCATTAGAATCTTGCAAAGCAGGCGATGCTCAAAACTTTCCCTATTTTGTACTGTTGTGTTTTCCTAAACCTCATGGAGTATTATGAGAAAATACACAAATGTTAGGTGATAGTTGTAGAATATTTGAAAGATTCAGTAAAGCAAGAAGAAAACGAAAATCTCGCTCTGACTCAGTCTTCTTTGTGAGATTTGGATGCACAGGAGTAATGGGTTCAAGTGTAGGGTAACTTGGAGGCATGGGGGCTATGTGAACCTTGGGCAAGAGTGGGAGAAAGATGGCCTTTCTAAACTTTGCTATCTTGGTCCTTGTTCACCTTTCTCCCTGTAGCCGATTTGGAACCAAGTGCGCTCGGTGTGGCAGACAAATCTATGCCAGTGACTGGGTGCGCCGGGCACGAGGCAATGCCTACCACCTGGCCTGCTTTGCCTGTTTCTCCTGCAAACGCCAGCTGTCCACCGGGGAGGAATTCGGTCTGGTTGAGGAGAAGGTGCTTTGCCGCATCCACTACGACACTATGATCGAGAACCTCAAGAGGGCCGCCGAGAACGGTACCTAACCCGCACTACCTAGCACCTACTCCCGCCCTTACCCACCATCCCTAGCACCTAGGTATGGTCCACACGGGGAGGGGAGGGAATGTTACACGTGGAGCATACTCTCTGGCTACATTATTTGTGTGGGTCGACAAGTCTCCACTGGTCCCTCCAATGCAGCACCCCACTCCGCCAGCTCTTTGGGCAGTCAGGGAGACAAGCCCACATTCTACCCACTTCCTTATGGACCACACCAAGCTAAAAACTAAGGGTGGATCATCCTGGATCAGGGGTTTTGAATATAAAGGCTTAAAAGGGACCTACCTGTTCCTGAGTTTTGTAGACACGGCTCTACCATGCCATGGCAACAGCTGAGGTTTCCTTTTTCTCTATGGGCCTCTTCCGGTCCTACATCTGTGCAAGATATCTAGATGTTGGTCTAGAATGTTCCTTGAATCTCCTCTGGCTCTGACATTATGACTTTTCCAAGCCATCTATCCCAGGGTCAGGGTGACAGTCTCCCAGCAGGTGTGGTGTGGGTTGGGGTGGGGTGATGTCTAAGGGGAGGTGGGACCCTAAAACTGAGTGGAGCTGTGGACAGAGAGGCAGCAACCCTCTCATAGCTCTGCTGTCAGAATCTGTGGGTATGCTAACTTCCCTGGACTGTGGCTGGCTGTATAAATCTCTACAACACTTTCAGGGGCTTTGTAGTATTCATAGCTAGGAAAGAGGCAGCGGTTACCTGCGGTAAGCACCTTGCCAAAGGTTACTTCTCAGGCCTAGCACCCAATTTCTCAATTATCAAAATGTAGCACACTATACCATGCTGCTTCATCCCTGTGCCCTAGAACCCCCTTCAACAGCCAGGAGACTCTTGGGATGTGGTTGCTTCTATGGGTTTCATTTTTTCCATCTTAAAAAAAAAAAAAAAAAAAAAACAGGCGCAAAAACCCTTAAGCTGACTGCTTTACTTGGAATATGAATATTTCACAGTTCTCTCGAGGAGTATGGACCACCCTAGCTCAATTTCTAGGCACCGGTGGAGGGCTAGTCAGGGACCAGTGTTACTGGCCTTGGCCTCGCCCAAGGTCATCACTTTCTCCTGCTAGGATCAGTAGCTAAGTAGGGAGCAACTGAACTTGGGGCACGTGGACGTTTCCTATAGTGCTGGACCAGTTGGCAGTGGAGCTGGATTGGGATCTCAGGAGTCAGAGCTTCCTCTACACCATGGTTAATCAGTAAACCACAAGTTCCTTTGACTCCCAGACCACCCAGGGCCACCCTTGGTCATGGCCTTGCTAATGACACTCTATACAGGGGAACTTGAACACTTGGGGTTCTGGTCACTTCAGCATTAGCTATTGCTTTTCTTTTAAACAAAACCACACACATTCATTATAGAAAAATGAGGAGAGGTGGTTAAAGAAAAATTTGAGATGTCATTATCTCCCTGTTTACATTTCCAGTTTTTCTTTGTACATGTAGTTTTTTCTTCTGCATAGTCTACCCCCATTAAAACATTACAACAAATTGTGAGCAGTGGTTATCCCTGTGTGGTAGAATCACTGGTGACTCTCTCCTTCTTTGTGCTTGTCAGATTTTGGGGTTTTGATAAGAATAGTGTATTATTTTTGTATTCAGAAAAATGAAGTATTAAAATATAAATGCTGATTTACAATCATAGCTGCAAAAGTTCTATAAAGCAGAAAGACAGTACCTAAGATATATCCTAGTTAGTAAACTATACTTTAGAGAAGGTAAAATGTAATTATTTTAAATACTTCAAAAGTTGCCAGGTGTGGTGGCACATATCTTTAGTCAAGAGTTAGAGGCCAGCCTGGTCTACAGAGAAGAGTTCCAGGACAGCTAAGGCTTCACAGAGAAACTCTGTCTTGAAAAAGCAGTAATAGTGATGATGATGATGATAATTAATAATAATAATGAAGAAAAAAAGTTACAGATATATGGAAAGTAAAAAGTCACAGCAATCATATTCCTTGGAGGTAGGCTACTGTAATTACTTGAGTCTTCCCACCTTTTCCAGATTGTTTCTGTGCAATTGAGATTATAGCTTCTGCAACTGCATGCTTTTGTTTTATCTCCATCTCGGTTTCCCTCAAGTTCAGCTAGGAGGGATGTTAGGGTCAGCCGGGCTCCAGATCTGAGACAGATAATTTGGGGTTCACAGCCAGGAGCTTTTTTCTTTCTGATTCTCAGTTCCCTCTCTTTAAAAATGGGCGAGAGTATCGAGAGGACACAATAGGATCGGGGATGATGGCCCTGGGATCCCCGCTCCCAGCCACCTCGCTCCTGACCCTTCCAGGGACAAGCTCCCCCCCACCCGGTCCTTTCCAGGCTGCCACTAGAAGAGATGGGGACGCGTGGTCAGCCGCTTCTGTCGCCCCCCAGGGAACGGTCTCACGTTGGAGGGGGCAGTGCCCTCGGAACAGGACAGTCAACCCAAGCCGGCCAAGCGCGCGCGGACGTCTTTCACTGCCGAGCAGTTGCAGGTACCCAACCCTGACCCTCTTCGCTAGCCCCGAGACATCTGGGCGGGGCCTCAGAGTGGGCGTGGTTGTGCAGGACTTGTGACTCCACCCCTTCGTGCTGGGACCCGCGGGAGGCCACGCGGGGCTGCCTGGGGCGTGGCCTGGGGCCAGGAGCCTCTGATTGGGCGGAGGTCTCAGGGCCCTCGTGCGCCCCGCAGGTTATGCAGGCGCAGTTCGCGCAGGACAACAACCCCGACGCACAGACGCTGCAGAAGCTGGCGGACATGACTGGCCTCAGCCGCAGGGTCATCCAGGTGGGGCCCCGGGGTCTCGGCCTTCAGGTCTGGGGCGGGCCCCGGGGCGAGCGCTTGTAGGGTCGCGGGTGCACGTGGCCGCCCCTTTCCAGTGTGGCCCGAGGTCCCCTGGAGGCACGGCCGACCCTTTCCCACGATTGCTGAGACTGCGGAGGCTGTCGTTCCAGGTGTGGTTTCAAAACTGCCGAGCGCGTCATAAAAAACACACACCGCAGCACCCAGTGCCGCCCTCAGGGGCGCCCCCGTCCCGCCTCCCCTCCGCCCTGTCCGACGACATCCACTACTCTCCGTTCAGCAGCCCCGAGCGGGCCCGCATGGTCACCCTGCACGGCTACATCGAGAGTAAGTGACGTTGATTCTGGGGCCGCTAGGCCTGTGGTGCGGGGAAGGGGGCGCTGAGAAGTGCTTCTTGGTTTTGCAGGCATGGGGCATCTGAGGGAGACTGGTGGATGAAGATGTGAAGGGGGTCAGTTTCCCCCTCTTCCTCAGTGAGTCGGGCCCTTGGTAAAGGGAACAGAGTTAAGACTTCAAGCAGCCACTGTGTGTGTGCGTGGGATGGGGGCAGGAACCAAGGAGCCTGCGTTCTGACGGGCAAGACTCAGGTGTGCTGCAATTTGTAGTGCAGTGATTCCTGTAGGAAAGATGCCAGGTGGTAGTGTATGGAGATGCTGGAGCTGGAGGAGCATTGCCTCTGAGCAAGCTGAGCTCTGAAGGATGGACTAGATTTATGGAGGCGGATACATAGACTGGGGGATCGAAAATGGGCAAACTTTGGCTCAGAAGGCATCCTGGCATGGGTGCATGTGGAGAGAGAGAGCAGAGGCCAGGGTGTCATGACCACCCAGGGCTGTGAGGCTTTTGATAAGTCATATACTGTCCTCAAACCCTTCTGTTTCAACTTTGAACTAGAATAGTGATTCTAGTTCATTGACATGGGCACCCAACAAATGTGTACTCTGAGTGCCTCCTGTGTTCTTAGCACTGAAATAGAAGAGTTAGTAAATAGGCCAGAATTGCACTGCTCCGGGGACTCACATTCCAGTGAAGAGACAGAGTCCTCCATCTCAGTCTGTCCTTCCCTCCCTCCTTCCCCTCTCTCTCTTTCCCAGAGTCCATGTGGGCATGATGGTAAGTGCTATGCCAGTGAGCTGTGGTCCCAAATAGACACAGTAAGAATGGATATGTGGGTGGGCCTGGATGAGTGAAGGCATGATCTGGATTTCTGAGACAGGAGCAGTCAGTGAATCTGCTATTAACAGAGTTTCTTTCCTTTCCGGTCGGTCGTTTCCTCAAAGCTGGGTATGGCCAAACAAACAAACAAAAAAAGGCATACACATGCATATTCTCTCTCTAGCAATCATTTATGGCTCCCAATAAAAGGAGAGAAGTAATCAAGCTCTTACTTATGGAGCACCTACCTTGTGCCAGAGGTGATGCTGTCCGAGGCTCTGAACGTCATAGCTCATTATTCCATTACATAGACCAGGAAACCAAAGGGCCCACTGTTAAGTTCCAGGGACTCTAATGACTGAATGTGGGCTGTGGTATAATTGCCAGGGATCAAGCTAGGAAATCACTTCCTAGCTTGGTGACATTGGGCAAATTTCTTAGCTTCCTGGACCGCCAGCCAGTTTCCTCATCTGTAAAAATAGGGACAGTGAGAGTAGCCACCTCACAGCAGTACTGTGAGCAACACTGAGGTAACCAACTTAAAGGCCCTACTGAACACATAAGCATCAGCTGCTTTGGGATGTGCTGTGGATTTGGTTGGCAGGGCAAGGGCAAAACCCTGTGTGCTGTACCAGGCTGCCAGTTGGCACTGTCTCTCTAGACAGTTCCATTTCTGAACATTCTCACCAGGAGGGACACTTTCTCCCTTTTGTTTCTAAACAATGACTTAATGTTCAGCCAGAATAACACCTATTAAATATTGCTGAAGGTGCCAAGGACTAGGGGCTGTGGTTCCCAGCGGTCTTGGCAGCCAGCTAATATTTGGTGTGGAGTTGGTTATGGGTCTGGGTGACCTCTGTTGGAGTGGGATCAGAACTCTGTTCATGTACTCTGTTGATCAAGCCTACATTTGTCTTTGCTTCTAGAGAAGGAACAGTTATCCTTTCTTCTTCCTCTAGAGTCAGAACATGCCTCTGTCGTGTGACTAAAGGGCAGCCTAGCAGTTGCTTTATGGTGAACTAAAGACATGGAGTCTTGGGGTTTCTGAAATGTTAAAGTTATAAACAGCACAGGGTTTTAGAAGCAGACCTTCCACTTTGTAGTCAACTAAATTCAGTGCTTAGAATCTGATTTAAAGTAATTAGAAAAAAACCCTTTGGAACCAGATTCCAAAAAACATGTAAACACAGTTGTTTTGTAACTTGACACTGTTCAGAAATGTCTTGAACACCCAGAGAGTTAAGAATCCTCAATTAAATAGGATTGCCTTACACTACAGAAGAGAGAATGGTATCTTAGGAAGGCACAGCAACCTGTCCCAGCGTACTTATCACTTGCAAGTGTCTGCCTAGGCTTTACTGTGAGAAAGTAGGGCAGTCTAGAGAAGAGACGGCAAATGAATGTTTAGCTGTCATGGTAAATAGGCTGAAATGCTCGAGAGATTTGGATCAGAACCAATGATAAAATTACTTAACAGTTTTAGGTGTTGGAAGGGTACAGAAGTGCATTCAAGAAATATTTAAAGATTACCTTGCAGGGGGTAGGAGAATCACTCAGCAGTTAAGGGCATTGGCTGCTCTTTAAGAAGAGGCCTGTAGAGATGGCTCAGAGGTTGAGAGCATTGACTGCTCTTCCAGAGGACCGGAAGTTTAATTCCCAGCACATACATGGCAAGTCACAACTATCTGTAACTCCAAGATCTGACACTCTCTCACACAGACATGCATGCAGGCAAAACACCAATGCAGGCAAAATAAATAAATAAATAAATAAATAAATAAATAAATAAAGGTTTGATTCCCCAAGCCCACACAGCAGCTCAATACTGTCTGTAACTCCAGTTCTAGGGCATCCAGTGTCCTCTTCAGTCCTCCATTGGCACAAGCCATGCAAGCAGTGCACAGACATACAAGCAGGCCAGTCACCCATAGGCATAAAATAAAATTTAAAGAAGAAAAGAGTACCTTGCATATTCCAGAAAGATTGGGTGTGCTTGGGAAAACTCCCACTGTCACAGAACCTGCACTCCAATTAATGAAGAGACAGTATTAAATAAACAGTGAAATTATATGTAAGTCAGGTGATTAGGGGTAATCAAGAGAAAAATGAAGTGTAGAAGAAGGAAGAAGGACAGGGGCTGTTGTTGGGCTGCAGTTATAAGCAGGGTCATGAGAACAGGATCTCTCTCCTAGGAGACAGTTTGGTGATGCTTTAAAAATCAGTGTGGGCAGGGTCTGAATAGGTGGGGGCATCCTTCTGTGCAGGAGGCTCAGTACATTCATATAGGACCGTTGACTTAGCAGTGAGCTGGGCCGTAGACCTTGTTAAAGTCCTTCACATATGTAGCATTGCAGCCAACTCAATTGAGATCATTCCCAGAGCCACCCAGATGGCGAGCAACAGAGATAGAGCACTGGGTTAGTGGTCAGCCTTCAGCTTGCCGAGCATACAACAGGTGGGGATCCTGCTTGGAGCCTGGGGGATGGGCTCCAAGGCATCCTCTCGTCCACAGGTCAGGTACAGTGCGGGCAGGTGCACTGCCGACTGCCTTACACCGCGCCCCCTGTCCACCTCAAAGCCGATATGGATGGGCCGCTCTCCAACCGGGGTGAGAAGGTAAATGGAGCCTGGCTGTATCTGGTGGGTCAGAGCCTTCCTACTGGGAATGGGTTTCTGGCAGCATTCCCTGTCACTGAGTGGGTACCATGCCATGCTATGGCAGATCACTCAGGTCCCCAGTCTGTCCCCAAGGCAGTCATCAGAGCAGTTACTTACGTGTCTCATGTGCCTGACTTTTCTAAAGTCATCTTTGTAGCCCTGTCCTCCACACCCTTTGGCAGTGAGGTCTTCTTATTTACCTACTTTGAATTTACTCATGCTTTGAGGTTCTAGGGAGGCGTTCTGTCCTGCTCCCATCATATATTCCTTTCATCTATTCATTTCTGTCTGTTGGCAGTGACTATCTAGAGCTGGTGGGTCCCAGGGTCAACTGCTAGGGACTTGTCTGTGGAAGTGAATCTGTGTTTGCTACAGGCATTAATACTGAATTTCCTAAAAGGTGCATAGATGTCCACAGGGCAGGTGAAAGTAGATGGGCCTACTTTAGGTGTAACCAGGAGTGGGAGGAACCTCATCTTTTCAAGTTCCAAATACCAAATGGTTAGTTCTCAAAGCCATTATTCCCAGACAGCTCCTTATTTCAGATGTGGAGAAACAGACTCAGACAATATTGCAGGCATAGAGCCTGGGTGAGGGAAAAGTGGTGAGAAACTAAGACCTAAGGATGCTTGGACTTTACTGGGCATCATGGTGATGGGTGGTGGTCCTCAGTGGAGTTGGTAGGGTAATCCATGGGAGGCAAGAAGCTCTTAGAATCCCAGAGGCAGCTTGGGAAAGCACTGCTCCTCAAGCCAGGGATAAAGAGTAGCAATGGGAGCCAGCATGAGGAATCCCTAGCTACTCTGGGAAGAGAACACACCTTCAGGACAGGTCTTCACTGTTCTCTGAACTCTGTTGTACACAGGGCTTCCTAGGTAGTGGGCACCATGGGACAGGGGCTGGAGGATGCAGGCCCAGATGGCCTAGCAGAATGTATAGTGGTATTCATGAGAATCTGGTAAGCAGGCTCTGGGAAGATGCTGACTGTTGAGCTCCTCCTCAGCTTGGGGCTGGCACATTATACACACTGGTTGACACCTCCCAGCTGCCTTTAGTGTGGACATGACCTTTTCTTTTCCTTTTTTGGGGGAGGGGGTTGTGTTTTGTTTTGTTTTTGAGACAGGGGTGTGTGTGTGTGTGTGTGTGTGTGTGTGTGTGTGTGTGTGTGGCCTTGGCTGTCCTGGCACTCATTCTGTACACCGGGCTGGACTTGAACTTGAAGAGATCTGCCTGCCTCTGCCTCTTGAGTGCTAGGATTCAAGATGTGCACCACTACACCTGGTATGGCCTTTTCATTGTAAAGACAGAGAAACAAATTCAGAGAGGTCGCACTATTTGACCTGGGAGTACCAAATATTGGAATCTTAAGTCTACACAGTTTAGTTGTTGATGCTTTTGTGTGGCACTTTACAGTTTATACAGTACTCTTTCTGACCTCATCTTTCTTTCTCAGCCTCCCCAAGGGGGTTATAATGCTTTCATTTTCAACTCCATAGAAATTGAGGCTCAGAGCAAGCAATAGCTCATCCAGGGTCACAGTGAACGTTGCAGAACTGACCTGGATCCTAGCACTGTTGACTTGAAGCTGGACTTGACTGGGACTGCAGAGGGAGAGTACATAACCTCTGTCCTCAACGGCTGTGTAGTTTAGACAGGTTTTGGGCAGTTACTTTATAGGGTGATGGAACAGACAGAATGGGGAACAAGCATGAATCCAGAGGATTCACAAGAAGGGGTGACAAGCTCAAGGGGAGAAGCCGGGAAGAGAAGGGCATCCATGTTAAAACAAAACAAAACAAATAAACAAACAAACAAAAAACAGCTGGTGAAAGGCAAGGAGGAGACAGAGTTCAAATGACTGCTGATGTTTGGTGTGGCTAAGGCCCAGGGAGGTAGGGGGAACTGGCAGAGACGATGCCACAAAAGGCCCTGTCCATGGAGTGAAGGCTTTGAGTCAGGGGAGCTTTGGAAGTGCACTGGGTTGGGCTGAGCTGAGCTGTGGTTGAGTCTGGTTCAGTTTGAAAGATGAGCCAGGCTGGGTGATGGCAGCTTTGGCTCTCGGTTCTTGGCCTCTGGGTTTGTCTGTTGAGCCAGAATCTCTCTTTCTGGGCTGTGTCCCCAGCTCTGTAGCCAGAAGCTCTGTGGTATAGTATGTGTCCTTCTTTCATGACCTACTAGCCTCTTGCTGTCAGGCCTGCTTGCCAGCTCCTAAGCACCTCTGCCAGCCACATAGGCTCACACATGTGAGTGAAGTCCTCTGGGTCACAAGTGTAGGGCGGGAGAGACAGACGGACTGTATTAGCTTTCTCACTAATCCTTCTGGGAAACCTATGAGCATACTTGGAGTCCCCTTAGTGCTGGTCCACTCATTAACACCAGTGTTGGCAGCCAGATGGTGGTGGAGCACACCTTTAATCCCAGCACTCAGGATGTAAAGGCAGGTGGATCTCTGTGAGTTCAAGGCCAGCCTGGTCTAAAGAGTAAGTTTCAGGATGTCCAGGGCTACACAGAGAAACCCTGTCTTGAAAAACAAACAAACAAAGAAACAGACAGACAACCCCCCCCCCCCCCCCCCCCCCAAACAACAAAAAGGCGGGGGGCGCCGCTCACTAAAAAAACAAAAAAAAAAAAAAAAACACCCCCCCCCCCCCCCCCCCCCCCGCCAAGAAGAAAACTAGTGCTGGTCTGGCTAGCCCTAATCACTGGGGCAGAGTGGAGCTTCCTATCTCCATGACAACATCATTTGGCCCACACTCCAGTTAAGTTCCCAGAGCTACATTTCTTCCTGGTCATATACCCTGATCCCACAGCCTTAGTACCTGAAAGAGTCTTTGAAGTCAGGGTAGGCTGGGCTCCATCAGGTGGAAAGAATGCAGCCCTCAGAGAAGGGGCTGGCCAGAGTCATTTCCTAATCGGAGCGCAAAGCCAGGTACTGGAAGTTCAGGACCAGAGGTAAGGTATATCCAGGACTAGGTGAGGAATGGAACATGAATTACTGAAGTCAGGTCACCCAGATCCAAAGCTGCCACCTCCTCCACTGAAGACCTTGAAGCACAATTAGCTTCATGCAGCTTCAGTTTCTGCCTCTGCTAAATGGGGCTATTGATAGTTTCTGCCCTCCTGTGATGCTGTAGAAATAAGAGGCAGTGTGTGTGAAGAGCCCAACAAGTGCCTGATGCACAGAAGGTACTCAGCAGCATTTGTTTAATCATTATCTTCTTAGTGGTTCTCAATACCATAGGACTATATGCCTGAAACTGACTAGTACTCAGCCCCCCCACACATATATATATATATACATACCCATGGTAAAGGTCAATTCATAATTGGGCACAGTCAGTGATTAATAAAATAGCATTTTATTATTATAAAATGGAACAGTTGCAATATGCTGTAGTAACAGCACCATAAATTGTTCATGGGGTCCAGAGTAAAGCACATTATGGGTCTGTGCTGCTGCTCTTGTTCTGAGAGATTTCGCCATCACTATTTACACATGAGGAAACAGGCTTGGAGAAGGGAAGTGAGCTGCCCAGTGTCTCATGGCAAGTAAACTGAGGGCTGGGATTTAAACTCAGGTCTAGCTCTGAGTCTGCCATTGTTCATCTTGGTCTTGAGGTCTTCAAGGGCCTGCTGGGTGAGGAGAGCGCCAGCCCAGCCACTTCCCTTCTCTTGCAGGTCATCCTTTTTCAGTATTGACGCTACCAGCACTTGCGCATCTGTCCATGGGCACCGCACAGCTGCCCCTCAGCCGCTGAGATCCAGCATTCAGCTGTGACCAGGGATCCACCCACCACCTCTGCATACACCTCACCCGCTGCCATCCTGCCCTCTGCCAGTGGTCCCCCCACCCCAGGCCCGGTCTGTCTTTTCCTGCCCTGCTGAGAACCAGAGCCCACCAGGAGCAGCAGAATCCCTCTTTTCGAGAGTAGGCTCCATGAAATGTGGCATCAGCATGAAAGCAAGTGGTCTGCCCTTCTTCATCAAACAGGAGTCATCTTTATCGTCAGCTGATCGCAGCAGTAATGGCACCAACAGCCTCCTACTTTACAGGTTTTCTTCTCCCTACATTGGCCTTTATTTACTACCACCTTGGAACCATCTCTGAATTCTGAATAGCCAACAACCCCTAAAGTTATATACTTTGTTGCTTTTGTCTGGCAAGCTCTACAGTGTTTGTGGGATGTCCCCAAAGGAAAGCTATGTTCTAATTTTATCATTTCCATCTGTCTGGTTCTGTCAAGTTAACTCAGAGAAAGAAGAGACACTGACCCACCCTGAGAGGCCCAATAGGGCAGAGATGGAGGCCTGCCCAGATGAAGAGGCAGAGGGACAGGCAGGGATGGGTGCCAAAGACCCCACCCCCCATTGGCTTGGAGGAGAAGGACTGGGTACACTGGACTAGGAGGGGCTCTGACCATTTCATGGAGAGAAAAGAGCAAACTTGGGAAGGGCCCTTCCCCCACCAACTACCCAGCAGGAGTCATGGCAAGGATATTGTCTCATCTGCATAATGACACTGCTGAATGTTAGGGTGGACTAGATTAGGGACCCTTGTTGGCCACTTCTCAGTCCCAAGAGGAGGGCCTGGGCCAGTCTTCTCTGGGGTGGGGTGGGACCATTCATGAAGACCAAGGAACAGAACCCAGTGAAATATTAGTTACGATTCATCCCTGAGGGAAGAGAGGTGCCCATGGCCTCAGTGAGTATGCCAAACCCAGAATTCCAGCTGGCACCTCTGCAATTTCCCCACCAACTGCAGAGCAGCTCCACACACTCCTGAGAGCAGAGGCCAATTGCAAATAAAGGTCTCAGGTTACACAGGTCCCAGCTTATATTTTCAGGGGATACCCATTTGTCCCACACTTATCCTGTAATTATGGAACCACTTGGTGGCCTAATGCACTTCTCACTAGAGGCTGCTAGCAGTATTTTAGCCAAAGTCATCCTCCTTGCTTTGAGAAGCAGACTACAGGACAGGGAAGGCAAGTTTTTAGTATGTATGCAGTTGCTGTCCCTGCTTCACCCATGACAAACATCGCTAATCAATCACAGCACTCTATCTCATGGAGTGTGGATAAGGTTTCAGAATTCCCATACTTGAAGTTCCACTTAACATGAGAACCACTGTGCTATTTGTTGTGGGATCTGGAGGAGGGTTCGGCATGGGTGACATCCCAGAAGGAAACTTGCATCTTCTCCATTCCAAAATTGTCAACTGGCTGAGGACAAAGAGAAAGCATCTCCCAGAATGCTGAGTGTGGTTCAGTGCAGAGCTCCTCCAATGCCCTGTGCCAGGCACTGACTCAAGCAGGAGGAGCCTGGCCTGATCTGTTGCTTTGGGAAACCCAGATCTCTCCTATGATTTTTTGCTTGTAATGATCAGAACCCCAGTTGCAACCATGTGGGAAGTGGCCAGCTGAGCCCGGTCACTCAGTACCCACTCTGCCTTGAGCCTTCCCCCAGGGTCTAAATTTTTCGTGGACCATGTGGCAGTAGCATGTTGCAGTTCAGATGTCTCCACTACCCTGTTCAGAACAGCCTGGGAATGTACAGGCCAATGAGGCTATTTATTTAAATACACACACACACACACAAAAGGGGGGAACACACAAATGGAAAAAAAATTGTAAGCACTTTTTTTTGTAAAACCAATGTCTGTTTTGTTACATACCTTTCATGTTGTGCTTTGTAAATGTCTTATTTGTGTAATAAATAAAGTTAATGCAAGTAGAAGTGCTGGCACTTAAATCCAGAATATGATGAGATTCCATTTCTTTCTTGCTCTTCGGTTAAGGGCTTAGGTCCCTGACTCAGGTGTGAGCTGCTGGATGGTGCATTCCTAGAAAACTGATACCATAGCCCAGGCAGTGGACTAAGCTGAGGCGCAGTGATGGGTTTCTTTTCTAACAGTGTCGTCCCTATGTATTGTCTACTTTGTGGGAAGTCAGGCCGCTTGCTGACCTTTGGTCTGCTTTCTGAATACCATCTCTCTGCTGTGTCCTGTACTGCTCTGCCTTAGAGAAGCTCTGCATCTGGCCAGTGCTGTCAACAGATGGGAGGCATTTGAGCTGGATAAACAGAATAGGTAGGACACAGGAGGGTGCTGGGGAAGGGCAGAGAAGAAGGTACACAGGGATCTTGGAGGGGGAGGAATCCAATATGATGGATTTGTCGGGTTCTAGGGCTACTACATATGCTCAACAGTGGTCTGGTAGTTGTCTGATTCATTCCTCTGTAAAACTTTTTGTTCAAGTTAAAGCCCCAGGTATAGAGAATAAAGCTGCCTGTGGGGTGTAGATGCTTCCCTACCTCCTGCAGCAAGAGAGAGGAGAGAGGAGGGGGTGTGGAGGGAGGGAGAGAGAAGAGGCCAGGGGTATATCCCTTATTTTCCCCAGTAGCTGTCCACTTTATCTTTTGAGACAGGGTCTCCCACTGAACATGGAGCTCACCAGTTGGGCTAGCCCATGCTCCTAGCTCTGGGATGACAAGTACACACTGCTGCACCTGGCTTCCCCCCCCCCCCCCCCCCCCCCCCCAGGTGCTAGGGTTGAAGACTAAGGTGCTTCTGCTCTCCTGTCAGGCACTTTACCAGTCTAGCCATCCCCTTGGCCCTTTATTGTTTCTTTATCCTCTCCCCTAACATTGTTTTGGCTCTCCCTCTAGTCTATGTCTTAAATTCTGTTTGCATATGATAGAGAATATACACTTAGTTGTATGGGTACATGAGAGCGCGGATGTGTTTCTTTGCTAAGTGTACCTTCTGTTTTGAAAACCCAGTTTGAGAACTACCAGTGGAACTCCACCCTATCATTTTTCTAGGGGTAACTAAAGCCTTAGAAAGGAGACATGACTTCCCCAGGTATACTGCATGGTGCAGCTAGCTAAGGGGACCGAAACCTCCCTTGGCTGGTGGCTCTCCTGCAGGTCCACTCTGAATTCCTAGTTTTAGTTTTTTTTTTTTTTTTTTCCCTTGCAGATCTCAGCGGATCTGCCCCTAGCCTAACCCCTCTTCTGTCTCTACAGGGTGGCTTGGGTAAACCAGCCATCATAACCGGGGTCTACAGGGGGATACCCTCCATGGGCTAGTCATGAAAAAAATACAGGATTCCCTCTTCTGAATTTAGATGACAAATGCGACCTCTGGGGTGATTATATGCACAGCCAACAGATTTACTTTTATATCTGCTTTTTATATTGGGCCTTACTATGTAACCTGGGCTGACTCCTGAGCATGTGGTCCTTCTGCCTTACTCATCCAATCCAAGTGCTAGGTTATAGTGGCACAAAGTGATATGTAAGGTCAACATTGAATACCCAACAGGTGTCAGCTTCTTGGACTGTCTCATTTGACACACTGTGGTGTTTTATTGTTTTCAGCATTCTTGTAACTGTGTTATAGATGTTGGAAGTTGAGGCTTAGAGCAGTGATGCATGGCATGTGGCCATGACAGAGCTGAGATTTGAACCCTGTATAAACACCAAAGCACCTTGTGGATCCAGTACCCAGAGGGAAAGGCGGTTCTGGGGGAAGGTGCCACTGAGACCTAGTGAGTCACCAGCAAGTCACATTTCTCTGAGCTACAGATTCCCCGTCTGCAGGAGGAGGTTCTCACCCCCTTGGTTGCTCATTCAGTTAGAAATACATGTCACAAGATAAAGGTTCTTGAACATTCTCATGCATAAGAAGTAATTGGAAATGCAATTGCCAAGCCCCATTTCCAAATATTCTGCCTGGAAAGTCTGGGTTTGGGCCCCGTGCTACCAAAGTGGTACTGATGCCCGTGAAATGGGGGTGTCTTCTAAAGCACTCACCCTTGGGGCCACTCAGTGCCAGAAACCTTTATTCTGAAACTCAAGTCAAAGCTAGAAGGACAGCCCATGGGCAGAGGGAAATCCCTGATGGAGATGCTGCGGCATTCACAGCTTGGGCTTCTGTGCCGGTTTCTCCTCCCAGCCCTTGCGGCAGGGCCTGACGATCCACTCGTGTTCATCATCATCTGTAGGGAGAGAAGCCAGTTACACCTGTACTCACAAGGATCCTACTGGCCCTGCCCTAGAGTCCCCCAGGTGGGATCTCAGGGCCTGCAGTGCCTTCCAGCACCAACTGCTAGCCCAGATGTTTAGCTCTGAGTAGCTGGAGCAGAACTTTGTTTAACTGTCATAGCATCTCTCAGCAAATTTCCTAGGCTGGGAAAACGGATCAGTTAGAGAAGAGTTCATGGTTTGAGGATGGAGCTGATGAACACAACCCAAGAGCATTTGGGCACTTTGATTGGTTTGATTCTGACAGGCAGAGTGGCGGCCTCACATTCAGACATTCACCTGCTGACAGCTGACATTGCACTGGGCCAGACCTTGGCAAAGGTACAGCCTTGGGTACTGGTTTTTCTCTTCCTGTGACTCTTGGTTTCCCTCATTGGGCTCAGGTACACAGTGGGAGACACAGGGGACTGCTGGTGTCATTCTCTCAGAGGCTAGATATATCCCTGTCCCTGCACACTGTCCTCATGGCCTCCCCACAGGCGCCCTTTTCCCACCACTGTGCAGATGGTCAGCATGTGGGGCAGCCCAGAGGATCTGAGCTCATGAACGCTGCTTTTCTAAGCCTCACAATCAAATGAGCCCCAATCTTCATTCTATAAGCAGCATCCCCCCTTTCTTTATGGGACCCTCTGTGGATTTATCTTATTTTCCTTTCCTCCCTCTTTCTCCTCTAAACACACACCCAGACCCTCCCCCACCACAACAGGGACCCACTCTAATGGCAGGGCATGCACCCCTAAAAATGCATGCAGCTTTATAAAATATGCCCTCTTGCTTTGTGTGCAAATGTGTTTTTAATTTACAAAAATGGCATTGTGCTGTGAGTGCATTGTGTGGGACTTCTTTGGTTTTGTGGTACGGTTCACTTTTCCTGTGGCCAAATGTACAGCTAGTTCTTTGCTTGTTACCACTGCCTCATATTCCATAGCTGGCTGCTCTCATGGCTGACTCTGTCCTCCCAGTGTCACCTCCAACTTCTCAAGACCAGGGACACCTGGCACAGTGGGGCTTCTGCCTTTGTAGATACATGGGAGAACTTGCCTGGGTTTTGTTCTGCAGGGAGCACCATGGGGCTGCACAGATTTCACTCACCTGTGCTCCCACCCTGCCACCTTCTGCTGTCCTCCTTTGTCCTTCCTGTCCATCCCTGACCTCAGGCTGGCTTCCTCTGGGCCACATAAATGGAGGCATTTTCTCCTTACCTCTGCTTAACTCCTATAGGAGGAAGGGACCCCCCACCCCAATTCTCTTCAGGTGACAAATGCTAGAAACTAAGGACCAGGGGGCTCACTTGCAAGCTAGAAAGTATAAGGCTAGTAAAAGCCTCCTCCAGCCCTTGTCCAGGGACTCTCCCTAGGGCCACCCTCCTGGGGAAGCACCAGGCCCACACTGGGAAGAGGTTCATGGATAGCTGAATGGGTTATACAAGCCCTGTATCTCATTGGGTCTCCCTTAAGATACAGCAGGGGTTGGGGAAGTCACACTCATGTCACAGATCCGAGGCTTTAGATCCCCTGCCTCTGGAATCTCAGACAAGTTCATCAGGAGCTGCAGCCTAACTTCTCACCCCAGGGCAAACTTGATGATGCTGGGGCCAAAGTTGCCTCCAGAAAAGCTAGCCCCTACCTAGCCTCATTATTTCTTTGCACGTGACTCCGAAAGGAAAAAAAAAAGAAAAGATTGCTGGTGAGGGCATGCTCTGGACCTGGGAGACTGACCTAAAGCAGCCAGAGGGCCTCAGTTTTTACTAGCAGACTTCCTGAATGTCCTAGCTAAGGCTGGCAACCCAAGGGTGTGTGATGGGGTGCTGCGTTGATGTGTCAGCACACAAGGAGTTAACCGCTGGTGGAGCACACTTTCGCCACACTGTGAGCAGCCTGGTTGATAATTACAGTTCTGAAGTCTCCAGGCTATTCGAATCAGTGCAGCTGCAGCCTCTTCAGCGGTAACCCCTGAAACCAGACAAACTGGGTGTATTGTGCTGAACCAGTCCTCAGGCCCCTCCCTGATCGTTATAAATTGACAGCAATGGACTTAACAGCCCTCTTCACTACTCCGTTTACTCTCTACCTGGCTGCACAGCCACCAATTTGAATCCCAGATGCCTTCCCTCGGGCAGCTGCTCCTCCACCCTCCCTCCACCTCCTCAGCGCCTCCTAGGCTCCCCTGGCCCTACCACGCCAGGGTGAGGCTGCTGGAGCACATTTCATCAATATTTAAAATGGAATTAAACCTGTAGCTTTGATTAATGCCTCCTGGAGCCCTAGAGTAGTGATTACTATTTTGCAAATTGCGATTGTTGGAATATGTTAATATGATTGTCTGAGAACATCTTCACCTTCTCGGGTAATTTTCCTCCTTTTTTGGCAGGAGGGGAGGAGAAGGGGAGGAAATTAAAAAAAAAGATGGGGAAAACACCCCCTCGAACTCTTTAATCAATTGTAAATGAGCATCAGCCTTGGCAGAGTTGTGGGTGGTGCAGAGGGAAGTGGGAGGGGAGGGGTGGGGGGCTTCTGTTTGGGTGCATTTAGCATCGTTCTAAGTTTTTGGTTCTCGTTGGCCTGGTAATGTCACTCTGGAACACTATCCTAAGGAAGCAATCTAGTTGTCACCAGTTGTTTAGAATCAAGAGAACAGAAGATGGAGATTTCTAAACTAGGGAATGGTTACTTTGTTGTCTATTCATTCATTTAACAAATGATTTCTAAATACTGTACATACCAGCAACCTACTGGCTTGGGGAGGGGGGCAGTGGGCTCTCACTGTAAGCCATGGGGAGGGGATATTTAGCAGCCAGAGAAAATGATAGTTGTGAAGTCGGTAATGGCAACACGGGAAACACTTTTGATGAGATAATAAGCCGGAATAAATAAGATGATGCAACAAAACAAAACAAAACAACCCCCCAACAACAACAATAAAAATCCATGGACTTTTATACAGAAATCCATGCTCCATGTAAAATTGTGGCTGGAAGAAAAATTAAAGGAGATAAAATGAATTGGGAGAAGTCTGAGCAGTGTGAGTTTCCTTCCTGTTTTTTGGTGTACCCAAATCTTTTTTCCTTTATGTGTGTTGTGCACAAAAGAATTTTAAAATAATCCTTGTATTTTTTTTGTCTTGCCTTACAGTGTAATGTCTTGGTGCTTTTTATGTGTTTTGTTCATTGAAATACAAAATTTCTAGGTTCCTAAAAACACTAATATTTTTATACTTTTAAAAAGTAAAAATCCTAGCATAAAAATGTTGGCAAAAATACACAAAAATCTGAATAGATGCACTTCCCTCATGAAGAGTGGCCATCTCCCAAAGGAAGGGAGAAGAAAATACAAAAAAAAAAAAAAATTAGTAACTACAGTGGAGAAACTGGCCTCAGCCAGTTTCAGGACAGTGCCAAATAAACCCCAGGGAGCCTTCCCCCTTGTTCTGATTAGATGGAAATGGCTCTCTACCTTTGTGGGCTTCCTCCCCAAACACTACAATCCCAGTCTAATTGGAAGAGAAACATGTAAACTTTATGAATCAAAGCACATCCTACAAAATGTCAGACCAGGACTCCTTAAAACTGTCACCCAAGCAAGGAAATTGGCTCCTATGTGTGTAGTCTAGTTGTAGAACACTGAGATCAGTTCCTAGCACTGAAAACCAAACCAAAACCAAAACAAAATCTCAGCCTGGCATGGTGGCACACATCTCAATTCCCAGCACTTCGGCAGCAGAGATAGGTAGATATCTCTGTGAGACTGAGTCTAGCCTGGGCCTCATTCTGGACCAGCCAGGGCTACATAATGAGACCCTGTCTAAAAACAAACAAAACCCACTAGAAAAGCCAGAGCAACTGTCACACTTAAGAGGAGCCCACAAAGACACAACTACATGTTACGTGATATCCTGGAAGAGGTCCTGGAACAGAAAGTGGACGTGAGGGAAAGAAAGGGGACTCTACTAAATTGATAGTTCAACATTAATATGGATACAAACGCATGGATTTGCCCAGTGTACCGCACAACAGTGGCTGTGGATAAGAGGAAATGGGCACGAGGTGTACTGAGAGTGCTTAGGATCCTCATACTGATTATGTGATTGTAACTGCTCTAAAATAAACAGATCATTTCTTTGAAATGTATGAAAATCGAATGTGTTTTTTACTGACCAGACATTGTGCTCTCCAAAAGAAACCCAAGCCCTCACACAAGCCAGCTCCCCAAGTGAAAGCACTCAGTTTTTGTCTCCCTTGGCCCCTCATACCAATTGCTAGACTCCTTTCTTAGATAATGCCTTTCTTTCCCATTAGAGCAGTGGTTTGGCACAGCCCCTGGGGGGTCATATACATCAGACACCCTTCATATCAGCTATTTACATTACACTTCCTAACAGTTGCAGAATTACAGTTATGAAGTAGCAACGAAGTAACTTTCTGGCGGGCGGGGGGCACCACAACATGAGGAACTGTATTAGAGGGTCACAGCATTAGGAAGGTTGAGAACCACTGATCTGGAGCTAAGCTCTTGGTGCAGGGACCCACTGCACCCAGCATATGTAGGTGCCTAGTACATGCTTTGCTGGGTGAATTCGTATAAGCTTTTTTCATTCTGATTTGCCTCAGGAGTAGCCTGGGCTACATAGACCTTCTAAAATACCAGGCTGGTATATAGCTGAGTGGTAGAGCACTTACCAGATATACACAAGGAGAACTTAAGTTCTGTCCTCAGCAGAAAAAGAAGAATCCAGGAAGGCCTAAACAAGATAATACCAACGGTGGTATACTTTAAACATCCATGTCAATTATTCCTTTTAACAACTGTTGATGTAAGTGTGATGCTCTGAGATTTCTTTCAGAAGTCTAAATTCCTGTAGTGGTAAAAGCTGTGGGGTTGGGAAAAGGCCTATGGATTTACTTGTCTGTACACAAAGGACCTCATGATGTGTAGGCTGGGCCTGCATGCCTACCTCCACTCCACCCTCACAGGCCCTGTTTGCATGCCAAACTTTCCTGACAAAGCCAAACGGATTAGAGCAGCCATGCCATCATTCCTCGAACTGATCCAGAACTTAATAACTATATGGTGAATGACTGAATAAAGAAATGTAAACTTGGGGACATAAAAGTAATAGATTCACTCTGTGTGACTAAGATCAAAAGAGAAGACTATCCTCCCTCCTTGGGCAAATGGAACTCCTCAGACAGGACAGAGATGCCAAGTGCAGGTCCAGGACTGCCAGCTACTGCTGCCTTTTGTGTCCTGAGGCCATAGGTTGGGTACCTCACCACCTGGCCTGGGATCATACCTGAGGACTAACTGCTTTCAGTAAACACCCAGGGAGGCAGTATGGCTTTTGAGGGCTGGAGAGATGGATCAGTGGGTAAGTGCCTGCTACACAAGTGTAAAGACTTGGGGTCAGACACCCAGCATCTGTGTAAGAGCCAGGCGTAGCAGTGTGTGTCTGTAAAGTCATTATCGATAGGGCAGATGGGTGGATCCCTGAGACTTGCTGGCTATGCAAAATAGATGAAACTAGCTTGTTGGCTAGCTCCAGATTCAATGAGAGACCCTTTCTCACAAATAATGAGGTTAGGAGCAATAGAGAAAGGTAACTGGAGTTATTTCTGGCCTCTTTATATGTACAACACACAAGAAATGTACGACACACATATGCAGCACACACACACACACACACACACACACACACACACACACACACACACACACACACAGTGTGGTGCTTTATCAGGCCCACCTTCCTGGGCCTGATTTCCCCTCTTCAAATGTCCCTGCTGGGGATCTTTGCCATGAAATCACATCTGAAACATGAGTAGGGCAGCTCTTGATGCACAGGATATGCCAAAGGCCCAGAGAGAAGCCAGAAGTTGGTTTTCTTTACAAGGTGGAACTTCTGGAACCAGACAGACCTGGGTCAGATGATGAGCCCTCCCACTCACTTGCTGGGTGAGCAGCCCTTCTCCATTTCTAGCCCCAAGATCCTGTCTGCACAGTGGGTTGAACCAGACCTCCTACAGAAGGCAGGGGGAGGCCTGGCTGGGAAGAAGGGCACTCCATGAATACTGAGGAGGTGAAAGGGAGACATCATTCCAGTGGGTCTTCAATTCCCCAAATGGATGATTGCAAGGGTGTGCTCCCTAGGGGACTCACCCGTGTACCTTTGGGATTTCTGGGTCCCTGCCAGATATGGGGTGGGGAGAACCACAGGGAGGAGGTCTTTACTCAGAATTGGCACCATGAGGACCAAGAAGCACAGCTCAGCTAATGAGTTCTGTTCAAAGCTGAGGACAGGCTGGGGCAGGTGAGCCATGGTGGGCAAACAGGTAGATTGGGGTCACTGGGCACCCACAAGCTGGGCTCTTGGCACACCTTTGGGTTAGGTAACCCTGTGGTCACCACTCCTATGCAGATCCTACTAGTGTGAGGGAGGGGTGTGGACTGGGAAAGGGAGGAAACCCAGAATGAACAAAGCAGCAGGCCTGGGGCGGGAGGGGGCAGCCCAGCCCAGATCCTGGGAGGGTGCTGAGCTTTGTGTGTGCGTGTGTGTATATGTGCATGTGCATGAGTGCCTATGAGTATGTGTGTGCATGTATATGTATGTGCGTATGAGTAAGTGTGCGTGCGTGCGTGCGTGCGTGCGTGCGTGCGTGCGTGCGTGCGTGCGTGCGTGCGTGCGTGCGTGCGTGCGTGCGTGCGTGTGTGTGTGTGTGTGTGTGTGTGTGTGTGTATTCATCCTTCCTCAGTGAGAAAGGGTCACCATCACTTAACGTAAGGAAAGCTTAGGAGATGTAGTGATTTCTTTCTTCTCTCCATTGAGGCAGGGAGGATGGCTCAAAGAATCTGCTAATGTGTATATGGGCACAAATGTCCATTTCTACTCAGTTGTTTTCAATATACAGCTGTGTGCCTGTGAGTGTGACAGTGCTTATGTTTGAGGGTGCAATGTGCACATTATAATGCACGGACCCCTGGTGTATGTGTGGCACACTATGGGGGCTGGCTGAGTGTGGCAATGGGTGTGTCTTGAGTGTGTGGCTTCACAAGTACAGGGAAGAGGCACTGCCAACCTGGTGATCCAAAAGGCCCACAGCCAGGCCAGGCTCTGGGACAGAAAGCTTCTGTCATGTGAAACTGCTCCTTACCCTGTGGTCAATGCCAACAGGAGTCCAGGCTGGGATGGAGGTACATATCACATCAGACTTTCAGCCACGGCAGGCATCCACCCCATAGCTCTGCCCCACCTTCAGCACAGGTGACAAATGTATGAGATGGTGGAGGTAGACCAATGCCACCATGCCTATCACAACTCCCAACAAAAAGCAGACTTTGGACTTTTCTGGCAGTGGTGGACAGAGGTGAAGACCTCAATATTCTCAATATTGGCTGAGAAATCCCTGCCCAGGCAGAGCTTGCTGCAGGCAGGTGAGAGACCATAGGCTGTTCTTATCTCTTCCTGTAGTGGAGAATCCTCTTGGGAGTGGAGTAGGAAAAGCCACATCACCCTTTGGGAACCAGAGCTGTGGAACCCAGCATCCACAAGCTTGCCAAAGCCCATTCAGATATAAGAGGCTTGGACATAAAAAAGGAAATGGTAAGACTGAAATAAATAAATAATACAATTAATGCATTCAAACTTGATTAATTATTAATTCTAGAAATCAAAACAATTCTATTTACCCTTGAAATCCATTTGCAGGCAGGAAGATTTGGTGGACTTTGCAGAGCCCCCATGAGGGCCCTACCCTGCCTGGGGAGTGGTAAGGGGATGGGGTGGGGTGTATGTTGGGAGTTGGGGAGGAGGGATGGGGGTGAGGGGAGGGAGAGGGAGAAGGGACTTACATGTGAAACAAGCTTGTTCCCTAACTTGAACTAATAAATAAATAAATAAATAAATAAATAAATAAATAAATCCATTTGTAGGCTCTGTTTCTTCATTTTGCCAGAATACACCCCTCCCAAGAAATCAGAGCTAATGTAACAGAATTGCAGTCAAATAACGGAACAAGTAAAGTTGGAGACATCCAACAGAAAAAGAGCTTGCATTTTGTTTTGATATATTGAAATGGTAGGGATAGAGAAGGCTTCAAGCCTAGGTGCCTTAGGAGCTATCATTGGGGAGGGGTGCGTTAAGAATCTTAGGAAGCATTTCCGGGGGCAGGTGGACCTCATGAATGCTTCTGAAAGTATGGCTCATGTGGTTTAGGGTGGAAGTTGTGGGTGCTTCAGTTGGTGGGTAAGGGGAAAAGTGCCTAGAGTAAAAAATCGAAACTTGAAAGTCCTTTAGGAAGGCCCTAGGCTGGAAGGACCCCTCTCTGAGTGCCTCACAGGCAGTCTTTGACATTGTTGGAACAAAGAACAGAACTTGTTGCTGAGGTGGTGGTACACATATGACTTGTCCTTGTGGGTGATACTAATCTAGAACCATTATCTGTGCCCAGTATGGACAGGAGGCATTCCGGAATAGAGACTGCTGTCCTGGCCTGCCTACCACCCCAGAGTAAGTGCACACTGAATGGAGGGATGCATGAGATCCGCACTGTTGGTACCGTTAACTATTCTTCCTGCTCTTTGAGTGCTAATAATTGGATTTGTGTTTCTTAACCACATCCACAATGCCTTCCATAGTAATAAGACAGCTCAGAAAAACTGAGAATCATAACCAAAGTCACTCTGGCATTTGCTCCTTTTGCCCCTGATCTCTGGCTGTGTGTGGATGATGGAGGCCAGTGTACAGTTGGCAGATGCCAAAGGCTGGGTTAGGCTGGGGTAGTGTGGACAACCTGGAGGAATGGGAAGTCTTGCCATCCCTGCATCACAGGGGAGGGGAGTGAGGCTCACCAGTGGTGCACTGACAGAGCCATGCCTGTCTTCAGAGATGCAGCCCATGGTATGACCGTGCCTCATTTCCCGAGAAACCCTGCTGCAGCTCCTGCCCTCTGACTGCTCACCGTCTGTGGGACTGAAGCCCAGCACCGTAACAGCATTCACTCTCACTACATCCTCTGCCTTGGATGCACAGCTCAGACCCACCTGGACACACCCATCAAAGCCCTGCTGGACATCACTGCTTTGGGAAGCCTCCAGGAGTCCTCCCCCAGCCTCTAACACTCAAGCAGGACATAGTGCTACATCTTAGAGTCCCTACTGTTCCATCCCCTTCATTTAACAAACCCTATCTCTTGCTCTTTAAGGCCAACCTGAGCACCTCATTTTCTGGGCCATTATTTTAACCACACAGGACACAGTCACACATTCAGCACACTGTCATTGCAGCTCTGGGTACCAGAGAAATGACATTCTTGGTTTTGGAAGAAAAAAAATGTCATACCATACTCAATATTTTAAATTAAATATGAACATGGGACATTCTTGGTTTTGGAAGGAAAAAAAATGTCATACCATACTCAATATTTTAAATTAAATATGAACATGAGCCAGGCGTTGGTGGCGCACACCTTTAATCCCAGCACTCAGGAAGCAGAGTCAGGCAGATCTCTGTGAGTTCCAGGCCAGCCTGGTCTCCAGAGCGAGTGCCAGGATAGGCTCCAAAGCTACACAGAGAAACCCTGTCTCGAAAAAACCAATAAATAAATAAATAAATAAATAAATAAATAAATAAATAAATAAATAACATGAACATCACAGGCCACATGGAAGTGTGTTGAACTGCCTTCTACTTGTCATTTGTGGGTTATTTGAACACTTAGGCTCCCTGAAGACCCTAGGCTTCCTGTG